CTTAAGAAAAAAATGTCGGATTATTGAGCTGATATCTTTTTTAAAAGACATTAAATGAATGTGTTTGTGTGTGCACGTGAATGTACAGGCATGCCTGTGCGGGTGCATACCTGTGTGCATGTGTGTATCTCTCTGTCTCTCTCTGTCTCTCTCTCTCTCTCTCTCTCTCTCTCTCTCTCTCTCTCTGTGTGTGTGTGTGTGTGTATAACATGTATACCTGGGTGATTGAAGAGTCCATATGATGCTTGAAGGCATCATATTCTGTGGTGTTTTATTGTTTATGATTTATTGAAGCTTTTCTGAGTATTCAGGAAGAAAATTCAGCCTTAAGCTATAGAAGTCAGGCAGTGGTGATATACAACTGTAATACTAGCAGCCAGAATCTAGGAGGTGATGGTACACACCTTTAATCCTAGGAGTAAAGACTAAGAGGTAGAGGGATCTATGTGAGTACAAGACCACCCAGATCTACACAACATCTATCCAGTCCTAAAGAGACACAGCTCACACACGATAATCTCAGCACCTGGGTACAGGGGCCTTTAATGCCCCTGTACACTAGAGGGAGATAAAGATAGGAGCATGGCCTTCAGTAGTCGGTATCAGGCATTCAGTCTCCAGCCACATTGAGGACAGGAAGACACTGAAGCCTCATGATTCTCCAGCCATGCTGAGGTGAGGTTACAGCCTGAGGTTTGGTGTAGCCAGGATCGCCTATCAGTCTGAGGTAGAGTGAGAGCTAGTGACCAGGTGCTTTGCTTTTCTGAACTTCAGTTTCAAGCTTGAAGCCCAATATCAGTCTCTGGGTCTTTTGTTTGTCATGTTACAATATCCTTGAAGCTAGAGTTGCAGATGCTTGTGACTAGCGGGTATGTCTTGGAGAAAATATACTAGGATTTTTTACAAGAACAACAAGGACTTGTAACTTCTTGTGCCAACTCTCCAACCCCCTTTTCCTGTGTTTTTTTTAAACGGGGACTCAACATTTAATAATTTCTATAGGACTAATTTAGTAATGTCTTATAGATATTCATATTTTTTTCATTTGTGTTTTATGATTTCCAGTATTTTTTCTCTATGGCTGAACATGCCATTCTCTTCCTTTGGCTGTCCAAGTGGCTGGGAGTGCAGGCCTTCTCCACCTGGTGTGGTGTTTTCAGTGGATTTTCTAACTTACATTTTGCATTTCCTCTCTCACACATTCTTATACTAGTTAATTTGCACAGATTTTTATTTTCATAAATTTCCTTGTTATTGACTTCATTCCTCTGTGGTTAAAGAGCATACTTTACACTTTTTTTCTTCTGGCCAGTGAATGATCTAACAGAATATACAATATGCTCTTTAAAAGAAAGTCTATTCTGCTATCTTGTGTGGATTGTTGTGTACGTGTATTCCTAGGACTACTTGGTTGTTACTGTTGTTCAAGTCTATTATCAGATTGATTACATGTCAGTAGTGTTCTAACCATTACCAAAAGTACTTATTGAAATCTCCAATTAGTATTTTTGAATTGTCTATTGTATTTCTGTGACTTTTTGCTTCCTGTTCTTTCTTTTCTTAGATGATTACTTGTTTGTGATTGTGGTAGCTTCCTGCTGGTTCAAACCCTTCATCATTAGAAAACATTCTTTACCCTGTAAAGATTTTCTTTTATAGTGTATTTTGTCTGACACTTACATTGCCATTCTACTTTCTTAGGATTACACTTTATACATTTTCCCATTCTTTAAAACATTAAGTATTTCGGCATATTTTTAAGACACACAGTTGAGTATATTAATGTATCTCTTACATCCTCAGGGTGAATGGAAATAAACTCATTGCCACACTCAGAAGTCTCCCAGTTCTGAAGGCAATGGAAAAAGGGAGGATGGAAAGAGTCCTTTCTTCTTTTTAAGTTTTTTATTTATTTTACATACCAACTTCCTACTGACCTCCCGTTCTCTCCCCCACCTCCTTTCTACTTCCTCCCATCAGCTCCTCAGAAAGTGTAAGGCTTCCATGAAGAGTTAACAAAGCCTGGCATATCAAGTTGAGGTAGGACCAAGCTCTTCACTTCTACATCAATGCTGAGCAAAGTATCCCACCACAGAGAATGGGTTTCAATATCAGCTCATGCACCAGGGACAGATTCTGTTTCCAATGATAGGGGTCCCACAAACAGACCGAGTTATTCAACTGTCACCCACATGCAGAGAGGGCCTAGTTTGGTCCCATTCAGGCTTCTCGTCAGTGGGTCTAGAATCCATGAGATGACTAGACTGGGTCAATTGTCTCTGTGGGTTTCCCTATCATGATATTGAATCCCTTTGGTCATATGATCCCTTCTCTCTCTCTTTAATTGGATCCCCGGAGCCCAGTGTTTGGCTGTGGATCTTTGCATGTGCTTCCATCAGTTAATACATGAAGGCTCTGTGATGGCAGTTAGGGTGGTCATCCATCTGATTGCAGGGCAGGCCAGTCCAGGCACCCTCTGCACTATTGCTAGGAGTCTTATCTGGGGACATTCATATAGATTCCCGGGAGTTTCCCTGGCACCAGCTTTCTCCCTAACCCCATAATGGTCCCCTCTATCAAGATATCTCTTTCATTGCTAAGTGTCCTGTTCTTCCTCAGTGATAAGATGCTAGAGTTGACAGGCATTTCTTTTTCTGCCTCTGGGCTTCAGGAAGCTCAAGCCCATAGCTTCTCCACACCCTTGCACTCAGGATGAAGAGGAAGAACCAAGCAATTTAGGCAGAGAAAGGGTCACAGGAAGGAAGTGGAATTAATCAAGAAAGATAAGCGGGACATGCATGCCTTTAATTCCAGCACTGAGGAGGCAGAAGCTTGGGATGGATCTTTGTGAGTTTGTGTAAAATCTGGTCTTAAAAAAAAAAAAGTAAAGGAAGCCCTCTCGCCCTGCCCAGGCGCCATTACAATGACATCAGAGTGGTTGTCCAATCACTGGGCTATGGAACATAGTTCAATTTACATAAGACTGCTGATTGGTTGAAGGGCCTAAGCTGCCCCACCCCCAAGATGACGTTTGTGTACAGACAGTTGCCAAAGACTTTGCTCTGGTGGTTGTACCTGCGGCAGTAGAGCTCCCCACTCCCACTCCAATGCGGTCCTTAAAAACAGCTAAATTTGATAGAACTAATTCAGACTACAGATTTCTGGGATTGTACCCAGTCCGGTTTTCCAGAAAAAAAAAAAAATCTGGGAATCCACTTGTTCTTTGAAGATAAAGCCAGGAGATTGCTTCAATGACGTCCAGAAAGAAAAGGCCTCATGTTTGTGAGCAGCATGTTGCTGAGTTGATGACTTTGTGAAGATGACACCAAGTAAGAGGCGTGTCAAAAAGGGGACAAATACCCCCTCAGGACAGAAGTCAGCCGAGACTACAAGTCTTCAGTCAACTCTTCCAAGAAGACCACGGAGCCGTCAAGCCACAAAATGTCCCTCGGTGGAGAGAGGTCGCTTGGATGAGACAATCTGCACAGTAGAGAAGAAGCCCTCCACTGAGAAGGATGGTGTGACCGAGAAAAGATACATTGCTACGAAGGACTACGTTTTGGTTAAGACACCCTTGGGTGAGATGCTTCAACTACATGACGGCAATTGCAAAGAAGAAGAAACTTCTGCTCCAGGGAAAAGAACCTCTGCGAAAAAACACCAGTCCAAGAAGCAACTCTCTGGGAAGACACATCGAATTTCCGAGAAAAGTTGCTCATTCGAGAAGCATCTCTCTGCTGAGAAAGATATTCCTACACAGAGAGGTTGCCTTAACAAGAAAAAACGGCTTACAGAAAGTGGTCATTCTACAGAGGAAGGTGGTTTGGCTGAGAGACATTCCTATGGCGAAAGAGGCAGCCCTGTTGAGAGAAATAAACCAGCAAAGAAAGATCTTTCTACTAAGAAGAGTCGATCTCCTCAGAAAAGTTACTTGGTTGGGAGAGGACCCTCTACGGAAAACCAGCACCCTCAAGAGAAAGACGGCCCAGCCAAGAAACTTAGCTGTACAGAGAGAGATCGCCAGATATAGGGAGACCATTCTGTGAAGAGAGGACTTTCCACAGAGAAAGATCATCCTGTAGAGAGAGGTCGGCCTGACAAAAAAAGTAACCTCGCAGAGAAGGAATACTCAGCAAGCAAGAGTTGATCTGCAGGCAGTGATCCCCACAACAAAAGCCTCAGTGTAGAGAAGGTTAGCTCATTTGACTTGGTTAAGTGGGCATCGAGCAGACATTTGGCAGGTGAAGATAGCCCTACAAGCAGAGGTGGCCGCATTCAAAGCTGCCCTATAGTGGAGGGTCGCTCTGTGGATAGAAGTAAGAATGCAAAGTAAAGACCTTCCACAGCAAAAGATCACCCCACAGGGAGAGGTCGGCCTGAGAAAAAAGCCGCCCTGGAGAGGAGGGTTGTTCAGTCGAAAGAATCAACTTGTCAAGAAGCATACCCTTCGCAGGTGAAGATATCCCTGCAGGGAGAGAAGCCGCCCTGCAGAGGAGGGTCGCTTGTTGGAAAGGGGTTACATCGTGGAGAAAAGACCTTCCACAGGGAAACAACAACCGACTTGGAGAAGTCGCCCCCAAAGAAAAGCAGCCCTGCAGAGGAGGGTCAGTCAGCAGATAGCAGACCCTCTGCGGGGCAAAATCGCCGCACAGGAAGAGACAGGCTTCCAAAGAAAAGCCGCAGTGCAGAGAAACATCTACCTGAGGAGAGAAGTTGATCTGTCAAAAAGAGTCGCCCTGCAGAGAAAGGCCCATCTTCCAAGAGAATCCACTCTGTCGGGAACGTCATTCTGGGGAGAGAGGCCACCCTGCTAAGAAAAATAGACAGCACTCTGCAACAAAAGTGAGCACAGAGAAGAAATTAATTCTGTGGAGAGTGTTGAGTTTCACGACAGCTACACTGATGAGGAAAGTAACACAGGACAAAATGCGGGTTCTGTGGGGAAAGGTCAACACTCCAAGGAGAAAGTCTTTCTTGTAGAGAAACCTTCTTCAGGATTCATGCCTACAGTGCCAGTGCCAGAGCACATGAAGAATACTCCAGAAGAGGAAAGTAACACAGGAGAGAATGGCTGCTCTGTGGAGGAAGGTCATCACTCCATGGAGCAAGGCCTTCATGTAGAGAAACCTTGTTCAGGATTCATCCCTACCTTGCCCGTGCCAGAGCAATTGATGAATACTCCAGAAGAGGAAAGTAACACAGGAGAGAATGGGTGCTCTGTGGAGGAAGGTCATCACTCCATGGAGCAAGGCTTTCCTGTAGAGAAACCTTCTTCAGGATCCATGCCTACAGTGCCAGTGCCAGAGCACATGAAGAATGCTCCAGAAAGCAGAATTGGCAGTGATACCAGGCAAGTATGCGAGGTCCCTCATCAGAATTTGGCTGGGGCTGTCACCACTGGTCAGCATATGCAGGCAGTAAATCTGAATATGGGAGTTGCCTCAAGAACTAAAAGCATGTCAAGTTGAGGACTGGGACTTGGTAAACAAGCAGAAGCAGTTATTCCAGTTCCCTGCTGAGAAGAATGTAGATCACATTCTCGAAAACTATGCGACTTTCTTGAAGTCACAGAGAAAGTCTGATTATTCAGAATATTCTGTTGATGAACTTGTGTATGGAATTAGAGAGTACTTCAACAAGATGCTGGCCACTCAGCTGCTCTGTCAGTTTGAAAAACCCCAGTATGCCGAAATCCTCTTTGCTTACCCAGATATTCCGATGTCTCAGATTTACAGGGCTCCACACTTCCTGTGATTAATTGTGAACATTGAGACTGCTTTGGCCCATTTGTCACTTAATAGGCATAGTTTTATGTCATTGTCCAGCTATATGCACGGTTTCCTTAATTACCTAGCAGAGAATTCCACTTCTCTGTTTGGTGTGAGCAATTACAAAATGGCTTCTGTTGCATATTGCTTCAAAGCCCTGGCAGGGTCTGCAGACCACTCTGTTATGACCTAGAACAGTAAACATTTCTATCTTTGCTGATTTCATTGTGTATTTGATGTTCTTGAAAACTATGCAGCTACAAGAGGGCTTAATATTTCAGGTTGCTTATTGTTCTGATCAGATATAAAAACATTAATTGTCCAAAAAATAAATGTTCACTAAAAATTTGTGTCACTTATTTGACAATATTGCTCAAGTGATGGTGCTTCTATCCCTTCCACATCATGACTTTTTAGTAGGTGTTCATATTGCATGATAAAATGTCCTTTGTCCTCAGCCAAAGGATCAGCATAATGGCTATACCCAAAACACATGCATGCACCTAATTAAAAAATATAAAATATTTTCAAAATGTAAAAATGATTGAAGATATAGCTAAACAGTCCCTGGCTGACTTTTTCGTTTCAACAGAAACATCAACACAAAAATAGGAGTGATCAAAGAGAAGAAAAAGGAAGGAATGGTATAATTAGAAAGGTTAGAGGCCTTGCTAGAGAGGGGAGGATAAGAGTGAGGAATGAGAGGCAAGGAATGAGAGGCAGAGATGGGGAAGAGAGAAATAGGTAGAGAAGAACAGGAGGGGAGGAAGAAAATGGAGAGGACATGGAGGAGGGAAAAGAGAACAGCAGGGAGGTGGAAGACAATAAAGGTGAGAAGATAGAGGAGGAATATTAGAGGAGGAAGAGAAGAAAAGAGAGGAAGAATAAAAGGCAGAGGGGAGAAGGAAGAGGAAAGAATGAAGAGAAAGTAAAAGTGAAGTAAAGAGAGGAAGGATAGAAGGGAGAGGGCAGGAGGAGTTGGAGGAGAGGGAGTAAAGGGAGGAGGGGGGAAGAAGAGGAGGGGTATGCTGAGAATAAGAGGGGAAGAGATAAGGAAGAGATGGAGGTAAAGGAGAAGGATAAGAAAAGGAGGGGTGGAGAAGAAAGGGGGAAAGAGTAACAGTAGAGAAGGAGGGGAGGATAAGAAGAGAAGGTGAGGGAGGAGAAGGATGAAGAGAGAGGAGAAGGGGATAGGTAAAAGAGTTGAGTGACATTAAGGAAGACATTAAGGAGGAAGGGTAAGAAGGAAGGATGGACAAGAAGGCAAAGGAGAAGGAAAGAGAAGAGAAGGGAAAGGAGAGGAAGAGGGAAAGGGAATGAAAGAGAAAGAAGGAAATGAGTAGGGAGAGGAGGAAGAGAGGACAGGAGTTGTGGGAGGAGGAAAGAGTAAGAGAAAGGAAAGGAATAGCCTGGGAAGAGAAGAAGAAGAGGGGAAAGAGAAGGAGGGGAAGAAAATAGGACAGGAATGAGGAGAGGGGGAGGAAGTGTGGAGGGGAAGGAAGGGGGAAGAAGATGAGATGGAAAGGTCAAAAGCAGAATGATTGGGAGGGGAGGAGAAAGTGTGTTTGTGTTTGTGTGTGGTGTGAGAGAGAGTGGGGAGAGAGAGGGAGAGGGGGGAAGGGAGAACCACAGGTGAATTCTGTGAGCCTGCAATACCTGAACCATAGGTAAACAGGTTTGTCTTTCTACACTGTCAGAATTTATTGAATAAGACAAATTTCACTATAGGTATATTTCATTCACAAGTATTTGTCACATAATCATCCTTCCCTGGTAGCTAGGCTGAGGCAAATGAAGTTTAATTGATTCAGACTTAATTCCTAATATTAACACATCACACAGCACAGTAAATATATCTATTTGCATGCATAATAGTACAGAATAGATATGAGATAAAGAGGCTGAAGCAAATTCATGGGGTTTCAGAAGTAGGCTCTGAAAGAGTCTGTAGAGACAATGGACCAGATCAGTTTCTGGAGGGAGCTGCTGCTGGGGCTGCTGGGGTCAGGGTTTGAAAGTAAAGCTGTTCCATTGTGAGATTAAAGGGACCAGACCCTCATCGAGCCCCCTGCTTTGGCAGCCATGACGGGCTGTAGAAAAGACCCAGCAAGACATATTCCCTGACTCAGCAACATGTGCTGAGGCCCTGACCTTGCCCTAATCACTAGGTTGCAATCTCCAGAGACCCTCCTTGTGTCAAGGAACCAATGAGAGCTTAGCCTGTGGCCTCTGTATGTGCTTTACTGGTTATAGTGGAATGCTGTGCAGAGAAAAACTGTTCTGGCTCCCTGACCTCTACTGAGCCCAATTCCTCCCCAAGGTCCCCATCTCCTCAGGATCTCTCTGGTCCTGCAGCTGCAGAGAATGCTCCTGCCTGCATAGAGTATACCCGACCAGACAGGAAGGACCTCTGAGAGTTTGGAAATACCTCACACTTCCTTCCCCCTCTGCTTCCCTGACCTCTCCTGAGCCCTACTCCTCCCCAAGGACCCCATCACCCCAGCATCTCTCTGGGCCTGTGGCTGCATAGACTGTACCCGTCCAGACAGGAAGTACCTCCATGAGTCTGGAAATACCTCACAATTCCTTCCCCCTCTGCCTCCCTGATCACTTCTGAGCTCTACGCCTCCCCAAGGTCCCAATCAGCCCAGGATATCTCTGGGCCTGCAGCTGCAGAGAGTGGTCCCGCCTGCATAGAGTGGACCTGCCCAGACAGGAAGTACCTCCATGAGTCTGGAAATACCTCACTCTTCCTTGCCCCTCTGCCTCCCTGACCTCTCCTAAGCCCTATTCCTCCCCAAGGTCTGCATCACCCAAGGCTTTCTCTGTGTCTGCAGTTACAGAGAGCAAACCCACCTGCATAGAGTGGACGTGGCCAGACAGGAAGGACCTCCCTGAGTCTGGAAATACCTCTCTCTCCCTTCCCACTCTTCTACCCCAAACTCTCCTGAGTGAGGAGCCTAGGAGGAGATGCAGACATTGAAGCCTTGGCACACACACTCCACCAGGTGAATAGAGGAGATAGAGAGATCCCACGTGCACCCACTGGAAAAAGAGATGGGAAGAAGACAGAATAAGAACACACTCAACAGAGAGACCAATATGACACCACCAGAATCTAGTGACTCCACACCAGCAAGATTTGAAAAGCACAACACAGAAGAAGAAGAGACAGACCTAAAAGTCTACTTCATGAAGATTCTCAAGACCCTTAAAGAAGAAACAAGAAAAAATCTTAAAGAAATAGAAGAAAAAAACAAACATACAAACTCAAGATATAAGTAATTCTCTTAAAGCACTGGAAACAGTTCAAGGCATGAAAACTGAAATAGAAACAATATAGAAAACATAGAATGAGGGGATGTTGGAAATATAAAAGCTGGAAAAAAATCAGGATCTAAGCATCTGAGTATAACCAATAGAATACAAGTGATGGAAGAGAGAGTCTCAGTTGTTGAAGACTTGCTAGATGATATACAATCATCGACCAAGAAAAATCTCAAGTCCAACAAATCTCTAACACAAAGTATCCAGGAAATATGGGACACCATGAAAAGACTGAATCTATGAATAATAGGTATAGAAGAAGGTGAAGAAATATAGCTCAGAGGTACAGAAAACACATTCAACAGAGTCAGAGAAGAAAACTTCCCGAAACTACAGAAGGATATGCCTATAAAATTACAAGAAACTTACAGAACACCAAATACACTGGACCACAAAAGAACTCCACTTGCCACATAATAGTCAAAACACCAAACGTACAGAATAAAGAGAAAATATTAAGAGCAGCAAAGAAACAAGGTCAAGTAACATATAAAAGCAGACCTATCAGAATCACACCTGACTTCTCAATGGAAACTTTGAAAGCCAGAAGGTCCTGGACAGATGTCTTACAAACACTAAGGGAACATGGATGACAACCCAGACTATTGTACCCAGCAAAGCTTTCAATCACTATAGATGGAGAAAACAAGATATCCCATGACAAAACCAGATTTAAACAATACATATCCACAAATCCAGGACTACAGCTAGAAAGAAAAATCCAACCCAACGAAGGTAACTACACTCACAAAAACATAGGTAATAGATAATCCAATTTTACCAAACAGGAAAAGAAACAGGAAGGCTAAATCTACACAAAATGACACCACCACCAACAAATCCAAAACAAACAATAACCAACAGTAAATGGACATTAATAACCCTCAATGTCAGTGGTCTTAACCTGCCTATAAAAAGATACAAGTTAACAGACTGGATAGGAAGACAGTATCCAACCTTCTGCTGTACACAAGAAACACACCTCAACTTCAGAGACAGGTGTTTCCCAAGGGTTAGGAAAAGATTTTACAATCTAATGGACCAAATAAACAAGCTGGTGTAGCAATCCTAATATCTAACAAATTAGACTTCAAACTAAAATCAATCAAAAGAGATGAAGAAGGGCACTTCATACCCATCACAGAAAACTCCATCAAGATGTAGTCTCAATCCTAAACATCAATGCCCCAAATACGATGGCACCCACATTTGTAAAAGGAACATTACTAAAGATCAAACCACACATAAAACACACTTATAGTAGGAGACTTCAAACCCCTCTTTCACCTGTAGAGAGGAGCACCAGACAGAAACTTAACAAGAAACAAAGGATCTAACAGAAGTGATTACCCAACTGGGTTTAACAGATATCTATAGAACTTTCCATCCAAACACAAAAGCATATACCATTTTTTTTCTCAGCACCACACTGAACCTTCTCTAAAATTGACCACATACTTGGCAAAATAGCAAACATCCACAGATACAAATAATTGAAATAACCCCCTGTATCTTATCAGACCACCATGCTTTAAGATTAGAATTCAACAGCAATACTAATTGCAGAAAACCTACAAACTCATAGAAATTGAATAACATCCAATTGTACCATTCCTGGGTCAAGGAAGAAAATAATTGAAATTAAAGACTTCCTAGAATTTAATGAGAATGTAGACAAAACATATCCAAACTTATGGGACACCCTGAAAGCGGTGCTAAGAGGAAAGTTCATAGCACAAAGTGCCCACATGAAGAAACTGGAGAATAATCACCCTAGAGAATTAACAGAACAACTGAAAGCTTTAGAACAAAAAGAAGCAAACTCACCATGTAGGAGTAGATGCCACGAAATAATCAAAATAAGGG